AATGGCCAAAAACACGAAATGTGGCTTTTGTGGCCAAAGGTGCCCTAGCTGCTGCGAACTGACTTGCATTCTATAGCAGCTCCGTCCAAGGCTGATTCTCCGCGCCCCAGCTCATTAGTCTTTAACGATAATTCTGAGGAGATATTCTCTCCATTGTGTACTTAAACTTTTCTCTTGAACGCGTTATTACTCAAGGTGGCTTTTGCTGTTCTAATGGTGCTTAGCGGTTCAAACATCCGTAAAAGAACTCTGTTGCGTTGCTAGTCGCGTCCTTATCGGAGTCATTCGTTCAAAGAGAGGGTCGAGCAAATCCCTTCGGCAACGAGTGATCACTTCAGCCGCAATTGTGAAGAAGACAGGACAGAAGAAGACATTTTCTTATGGGATGTTTACGTGAGGGAGTTAAAGATTTTAGCCGGGAATAGACGGGGAGCGGCATGAAAACAGAGAAAGTGACTATGATTATTAATTACAAATCAAATAGTAAATATTGGTGTTGCAGGCTGCTCACTGTGTGTACTATGTAATACTGGGATGGAAGTACCGAAGTGGGAGAGGCAGGCGCGTGCCGAAATTCTATTAGATATAAGGAGGCCGAACTCCCCAAGTCACCGCGTGTCATGCCTGAGCCGATTCATAGTTTTTGGTCGAATGCTGGATCGAGCGTTACCCACGAATCGAAGCGTGGCACAAGCGAGCAAACTTGCACAAGCGATCGGAATCTGATACCACGACTCAATAATTGCAGGACGCAAAGTTTCAAAGAAGCCCCACTTGTCCAAACAGTTTCACTGTCAGTGATCTACTGTTTGAAGTGCGGCTTTCCTTTGAACGTGCGTCTGCCACTAATGAGTCGCTGGTGTGCACGTTTCGATCGCTGGCGAACGCTCGATCAGCATTTTCTTAATAGAATGCATCGATTCGCAACCTATGAATCGGCCTGAGAATGAGAAGGAGTGTTCATCAGAGTCAGGAGGGCACACGGGGACGGGTGAGAATAAGGAGGCAACAATAAGGAGGAGTAGAAAACAGATAACATAGTTTACACGTACTGTACAAGCACCCCTGATGATATTCTCCTCTCTGTGGTTTTCTGACATCATATATTTTCTCACTGTCATACTAAAAAAAAACTCAAATGATTAAAAGTATCCTCATTGCCCCTACCAAACCAAGAATCCCTTTGAACTTCCATGAACTTTGAAGACACTAGGTACTCGATAGCATCTTAGACCTGATCACAGAAGTGGTCACTAAAACTGCTAACCTGGAACTTGTAAGCAAATCTCAAAAAGTTCAAAGAACTCTATGATGAAGCGCAACCTCTAAAAACTGGTTGCTTCTTTGTCTGCGAACTCGTTTGTGTAAGGGTGAATGGTTCCTTTCACAAATATGGGCTCGTTTTTGGCGTAGAGCCACGGCTCAATGCGTACATGTAAACTCCAACTTAGGTAACTCATCGAAGTGACGTTTGTGCCAGACATTTTGAAGGCTATATCTGTGTCTCATTGCCCCCGATATTCGCCCAGGAAGTTACGCAGGCATAGTGTATGGAGAACGTCAACTTCTATCGACACATGTAGTTCTCCTTCCTAGGTTCCATGAGAAGTTCGAACCATTTCCTGGTAGGTCTGCAGGTTCATGCCCAGAAGACTGACACCTAGAATGCATGCGATAGATATAAAAGCTAAAATATATTATATGTATTATTATCGTCGTGTATATTGTAAAATATTTGTGTATTAGTAGTTGAATTTCAGGTATCTGTTATTGGAATCGCTTTCAATATTCTTGCATTCATCATTTTTATTCGTCATCCTACGTTCAAAAGCACATTTGGATTCCTTTCCGCTTGCGGCGCTTTGACAAGTGCATTCGTTCTCATTATCTCTGTTCTATGGGCCGTTCCGTGGACTATTTGGTAAGAATTGGTTTTGTTATGGTAAGAATACGCAAACGAGAGGGAACAATTTCATGTTCTTCCATTCAAACGCGAACCGTACACCCGGGCTTTTTTAAACAAAAACACGAAGGTGACCGTTCTGAATCATTATATGCAAAGGTTTCGTTAAGGTGCGTATCACACTCAATCTACACCACGAGGTAACATGTATCAGAAATAACAGCTTGCAGGAAGAGGTAAAGTGACTCCTCCGTCTCTCCCCTCCCTCAGATATCCACTAAGTATTTACTTGAAGCGACTCAACGCTGAAATGAAGCAAACTTCACAATAAAGTTAGGATGGTCATTGATGACAAAAAAAAAACCATGAGAAACTGCTCAGAACCCGAGAAATGGTACCCCTTCCTTGCCCGTTGATTTGAGCATTGATGCGACTCTCATCGCTGTGCCCTCTTCAACACTACGCTCTCTCTGCTATCTAATCACTCGCCACGTATAGACCTGCGGCGAGTGATTAGATGGTCGGTGGGCGTACCCGCCAACCGCGCCAAGAGTGAGCCATGCTAGATCGCCGAGGTCAAATCTTTCGCTGCCAATTGCGCGTCGGTCAGCACCCTCAGGAGGTCCGCCTGTCTCCCAACTAGGCAATTTCCCCCTTCTTCGACCTTCGTTCTTATCGTGAATTCTCCTTTAATCGCAAATGATCTCCACTGGCTTCAAGTAAGGTTTACGCCATATAAGTAGTCAAGTGCTCACTTTTTTATGTATTGAATAGAGTGTCAGCTACCAGCTGTAAAGACAACAAAATGTCATCTCTTAAATATTTCCAACAAAAATACGTCAGAACTATGCTTTTAGGGACATTCCTGATGACTGGCAGTACCTGAACCTACGCATGGGCCAACTATCTGTTGTCTTTTTCGAGACGACAGTTATTTGCAGCTTACTTATTTCTATCAACAGGTAACGGTCTCCAGAACATTGAAATAAAGGATAAAATAAAATACTGACGCCTCACGAAAAGAAAAAACGTTTCACAGAGTTTTGTTTTTTCTTTCATTGGCCACTGGCCACAACAAGGTGATAGATGTCACGTCGGAGGCGCTTTTCACAATTAGATAGGATCCAGGAAGATACCGCAAGCATGAAAAATCGAGGAATCGCCGCGTAACCTGTCAAATAGAGGCACAAGGCTCGAAGATGCACACGGTCTCCACCCAGCACCCGGACCATGGCCCATGAGTTACAGCGAAGAAATCGACGGCTATGCCCGGCAAGTAAGCCAAGTACTGCCAAATTTTCCAATCAAAATCCATGATCTTTTGATATGTAATCCTTTGTCACATGTAGATATGCGTGGGGTGGGGTAACACAATGTTGTGCATTTCTGGGTGAACTTTACGCATGGCTTCGGCCAAATTTCAGAGTAGTTAGAGCCGACAATGATCATCACCGCGTATCCAGCAGCTTTCTGTGAAGAATCAAATTGCAACCTCATCAAAAAACACTGAAAAACCCTTCTCTACGAAGGTTCCTGCAGGCAGCTTTACTCTCAGTCGAATCCAATAGAGCTTATGTGTACAGTTTCCTCAAAGCTTGAGCTATCTTCCTTAATCTTCATTTTTGTCAAGAGATTCCTTTGTGCGAAGAAAGAAGAGAAATCTCTACCATGGTCACACACTTCGCCTCCCCAGACTGGCGCAACCCATGTGGTACCCATTGCGAACATGCTGCCCTGTAACCCAAACGTAGGGATCCTCGATAACTGTCAATAGTGCACCTCAGCGTTGTTGCTAACTCACGACTGGTAGCAATCGGCTGCGCCTCTGGGAAGTTGAGTAAATGCTCACCATTCATCGCCTAGAGTAGTGCCTTCCTTACTTTGAGTCAAATATCTCCATATGCGAAGCCTTAGGAGCAACGGGACACCATGGTCTGCTGAAGCGAGTCACCTCCTGAATACAGCACAGATGCTAGCTGCAACGCATGCAAGCAGAGTGGCTTCATAGGAGCTCGAGAAATAAAATATGTCAAAAGATGGCTTAGTTCAGAGAGAAGTTTGGAGCTGTAAAACGTTGCTTGAAGCCTTCATGTACGCTTCTGCTGAACTTCACACTACAGGCTTGAGACAATGTAGTGCCCATTCCAAGCAGGGACCTCAGCTGCATTGGCACATCATCAATACCTTACCTGGCACTAGGAAAAGGTAAACACTTTTTAGTTTATTTTCGGCATTCAAATGCCGAATAACTACAAAGGGTTTTATTTTTGGCCTATTATCTATTCAGTGTGTCGCGCTTTTCTGGACAACCAAATAACTGTTTGACCTGGCGAGAGTGAAGTAGGGTGGTCGGATGTTGGACTGTATGTCTGAAAATTAGTAAATGCTATGTTCTAATTTTGTCTAGTAAAGGCAGTGAGCACTATTTATCCTTCCCTGCCCCACATTGTGAAGACTGGGCTGGATTTTATCAAAAAAATCTTTCTAGGAGATGAGACGGGCTAGAAACCTGCGCCAGAGGTAATTTGATTTGTGCAACACGAAGATTGCATCCATCGCATCCGTTTGTTACGAAATGTCTGGTGCCGCGCCACAGGCGCTAGCGCCAAACCCTTTCCGACGTTCCCGTGTGGTTTACCAAAAGGGAGCATTTGTTTCACAGACTTCAGTGGAAACAGAGCGTCTTTGTGCCAGAATCAATGACGCGTTTTCGTGCCAGAGTCAAATGGATGAGTTGCCAAGCTTGCAAACTCTTCATTTGCGCCCAACATGGCTCTCAACGCTATTCATCGTCATAATCGCATGATGGAGCTGAAAGATTTCAAGTGGACTTGTTCGAGAGGATGAAATTAAACGCGGACGACTTCCAAGCCTGGTTACGGAGCCTAGGACTAGAAGCTGTTCCAGTGTGCCCAATGTGTTCTGGATCCATGACCCTTCGACCTCAAGACGATGTATGGATCTGCCACAGATGGTCTTGTAGAACGAGAAGGGACGAAGCCTTCGCCATCTGTCAAGCACATGAGCTCTTTTGGCAATTCCAAGCTCCCGAATTCCTTTTGCCTACATTTGGCTAGGTGAATTTCGATCCTTCCGAATGTCACGCGAAGGAAGTCGTGGCAGGGTTGTACAAAGAGATGAGCGGCTGTTAAAGGTGTCGAAAGATAGTGGCCGCGCATTCATGGTTCCGGTGAGACGACGTGATGCTGCTACGCTCACGAATATTATTCTCAAATTCATCCGACCAGGAACTACAATAATGTCCGATTCATGGAGAGCATACTCGCAGTTGTCGAGATTGCCTGCCGGATATCGACACCTCACCGTGAACCATATGGTTAACTTTGTCGATCCTCTTACTGGCGCCCACACCCAGAACATCCAATCGTTGTAACATTGACAACAAGTTTAACATGGTACTCAAAAGGAAATATGGTTTGAGTAGAAGCGACACACCGACTACATCAGAAAATTACTATCGCGTCGCGAGTTTGGACAGCCTGGAGGGATGATCCTCAGTAGCCTCCATGTTCGACTATCCATAAATCTTGGCATTTGTAAACTGGTAGGTTGCTTCTGTAGCCGACACGGATGATCCTCAATTTCTTTGAGCATATTGCGGATTTAAACATTCGTGTTGAACATCTTCCAGCGAGTCCCAGGACCAACAGTGCTGACCGGACGGCCTTCTTCACTGCCACAAAAAATACGAATACGATGTTTTCTTGAAAAATAAACAATATTTGTACTCTATGCGTTGAACTACGCCTGGCGGTAAGTTTTCAGCGAGTTTGATGATCCAGCGCCATTTGACGCTAACGCTTGTGGCGCTAACGCCAAGAGTCCTCATGGCAAGCGATATTCGTGTTTTTCGTGGCACGCCATATTCCGATATTCGTGTTCTACGGGTAAAATTACCTCCGGACGAGTTTCTAGCGGGTTTCATCCCAGGAAAACTTCAATAAAAATCCAGCCCAATCTTCAAAAGGTGGGGGAGTAGTAGATTCAGTGCCAAATGGCCTTAGTGAGGTTAGCAAAGGCACTCGCATTCA